CAAAAGAAGTGATTGGCAAATCACTTTTGAGTTCTGAACAAAGCAGGAAGCTGTCCTGTAGGCACGGCCTATACAGTAGACTTGACCATCATTCCAGAACCAGCTGGGTTGCATTTTGATGGCCTCCTGTACCCCGAACATAATGAAGCCTCTCTTTTTCTGAAGAATTAGAGCACTTATAGCCTGAACTATTCATTTTATTCAACAAGCATTTATCGAGTGCCGCAGACACATAAGGTAAATTCTGCGTTGTTCAGGAACACAATGATGAAGAAGACAGCCTCTGACCTTGAAGGACCGTGAAAGGGGTCAAGACCAAGCCAAACAAAAACTGATACCAAAACAAAACCCCCAAACTCAGAATGAGTAAGGGAGCTCAAGAAAAAGCACTTAATTGTAAATAACTTTCACTCTGGGTCTTGTATCTTTGCCTTTTCTAATGTGGCTGTAAGCTCACTGGAGGCTGGAACCACATTCTAATGCCTCCAAACGTCCCAGGACTCTGCTTAGTGACATGTCCACAAGAATCTATCACTAAACATTTGCTACTGGTTTGACTGACAAATACTGAAATGAAATGAAGTCGTAGAGGTATGAAGTATATTGGTAGTTTTTTTGCCTCCTGTGTGGGTTCGAAGTTGCCCATCTGTATATTAGACCATCACCACCTACAAATAAGACTGTCCTCTGCACCATCTTATGCGTGGTAGGGGGAACAACAGGGCTTTGATTCCCTGACATTCAAGACTTCTCTGGTCTTGATTCTCCCCCGGCTAGTGGCACAAGTGATAAGAAGGCCGAGGTTTGTCTCTCCTCTTTGGGTCCGTGATTCCTCAACTTTGAGCAAGATTGGGGTTCCCTTTGCTTTACTCAAGTACACATGTTTTTGTTTCATAACTAGTTTGGGTGCAGAGGGAGACACAGTACCCAGACTATCTATAAACTGGTGGGATGGCACCTGGCTTCTCCCCATGCTCCCCTTGTTCTTCGATAAATTCCCAGTCCTTATGAAGTTTTGGTCCCAGTGAATTTTCCCCTCAAAAACCAAACAGGATAATAATGAACCATTTTCTTGCATTTTCTACCAAGACTGCTCTTTGTGAGTTCTAAATGTTCTGTCCATATTCAAAGAAGCTGGTTTCTTCTTGAGTGGTTGGAATAAGACTTCTCTTGGAAGCTACTGAATATGGATTAGCTGGATTGTTTCGCAGGAAATAAAAAGCAGGCTCCGGGGTGAGTACTTCAGCACTTAATTGGGTTAGCAAAGAACGGCAAATGAGACGTTTTCCTTAGGAGGGAAAGGATGTTTACGGCCCCCCACCCCCCTAGGTGGTGGATTTTAACCTAAACCCTAGTCTTCAAATGCAGCCTTTAATTTAGAAATCATTACAAGAATCTATTAGAGCAGAAAATGTCAGGTTGAAAAATTAACACATCACAGGAGTTAATTAGAACCCAGCCTCTCATTAGATGCAAATAGAGAGCCCTCCAACTGCTGGGCGGCCGGCTGAAGTCACATTTGTTGCAGCTCCAAAGTGGCTGCCTCCTTCCCACTCAGCGAGCGGACAGAGGAAGCTGCCCAGCCCCTCAAGCCAGAGCCACTAGGGGCCCCCAGCCTGCCCTTTAGGTTAATGGAGGGTACCACTGCCCTGTCCCCATCTTCTGCTCCTCTCCTACATGCTCTGTCTGTCACAGGGCGGAGAGCCCTCTGCCTGGAACTCCCTCAGGGAAGTGTTTTCTGCAACAAAGACAAACATGCCAGGCCTGTCACTGGAGCAGACTGGCGACTGTGTAAACCACTCTGTGAGAGGCGAGGCTGAGGGGCTCCAGGCCATTCAGACTTAGCTCTAAGTCGTGGTCTTTGTTTTCTTTCCACATTCAGACTGAAATGTGATTCCCCTGGCTTTCTTTTTTGGAAAATACCTGCGATGAGTTCCATGCCCAAAAAAGAAAAGCTGTTGACAGGAAAAGCTTCTGCCGGGGAAGGGGCTTCTTCCAGCGTCCTCAAAGGAGACAGTGCTTCGAGCAAGCTGGGGCAGGGATGCCAAAGCTAGGAAGAAGAAGTCCAGATTGCAAAAGGGTCATCTGTAACTAGGGATTGGGTGGAGTGTCCAGCGGTTTCCCCTGTGAGAGCAGTACCATGCCCATGAACTTCTGGGCCACGTAGCCACGCGTCTGAGTCCCCTGTCACTTACTGCATGATCTTGAACAAATTGTTCAACCCCCCAGACACCAGTTTTCTCAAGCCGCTGTGTGAAATAAATGGACTAATGCACAGAAAGCATGTGACCCAGTATCTGGCACAGAGTAAGTGCTCTATGGAAGTTCTTGGTTGTCGGTCTGATAATAGCATTGCTTCCTCCAACACTGATGGTGTTCTTTCTGCATGCCAGGCCCTGTGCTGCTCCCTGACCTCGTGGAGTTCATCGTTCAATAAACCATGTATGCATACCTTCAGTACATGGCAAGCCTTCCTCCCTGTCCTGCAAACGTGTCAGGAGAAGTGCCCATTGCACACTAACTTTGCTTTGCTGAGTAGCTCAGAATACCGCAGGCCATCTGCCTCTGAGCAGCCCTGTAACCTCAGCTACCTCCATCCTCACTTTACCCACCATTTTCTCTCAGTGTACTTACCACACTGTGTTACAGTTGTCTGTTTCTTCTTTGCCTCCTCCTGTGAGTTCCTAGAGGGTGGGGATCACCTATTCACTGGATTCATTCATCTCATCATTTATTCACCTCTGTGGGCCTATGGTCTCCTGCATTACAGCACAGTCAAACAAAAGAGGCAACCCTACTGCTGAGTATGTAAACTTCCAGCTGGAAATATTTCTAGAGAAATAACCCTGCCTCCCATCTTCAAGGGTCCTCCTTGGGCCCTAGTTTGCTTGTTCTTTCATTTTCTAACTATTACTTTGGTTCTAGCCTCAGTTTCTTCATCTCTTTAAGGGGCGAATAGAGTTTCCTTCCCTGGGAGGTTGTGATGATGGCTGGAGACAAAGCAGCTTTTACGTGCCTAACACAGCTCTAGGTACAGAGCCAAAAACCAAAACAACTTGATTCCATTCTTGCCCTCAATCAAGTCTAGTTGCCAGTATATGAAAACTAAAACTAAAAAGCAAAACAGGAGCACCACATGAGTGGAACAGATATCCTTCCAACTTGTATCCAACTTCTGCCATCTGCCAGACTTGGCTGAAATAGAGGATACAAACATGCATACATACCTGGTCCCTGTCACCAAGCCCCAGGAAAACCCTGGGAAGTGTTGGCCAAAAAGATCTCAAGAAGAGAGGAGAAAGCTCTTTCTTCAGATTTTCAGACCTGGGCTGAAGGAGATGTCTTTGGGACCAGGCTGGAAAGCAGGAGGTGCCTCAGAACAACAAAAACCAAGTTATTTAGCACTTACTCTGTATGTGCCAGACACTGTGCTAAATGATTACCGGCATTCTCATTTAACTCTTGGAACAACTGTGTGGGGTAGACATGAATTTCCTTATTTTACAGATGGCCCATTTGAAGCTCAGAGAGGCAGAGCAGCTTTACCACAGTCAAGCAATAAGTAAAGGCTTAGAAATCCACCTGCTGAGGTTTTCACTGGTACGACTGGAAAGGGAAAGGGTGAACTAACACAAACCTCCACCCACGGGGTAGGCAGTGGGGTCGGGGAGGCTGAGAATGAGAGGCGGGAAAAAAATTAGATCAAAACAGCGGTCCCATGATCCCCAGACCTCCAGGGCCCTTCGCAGCAGCAGAATAAGTTAGAGATGCAGGCTGCCCTGGAGGGATGCCCGCGAGGCGGGGGGAAAGGGTACCCCCGGCGGTTGTGCGCCTTCTTCGCTTCCCGTGCACAGGTCAAACCTCTCCCCTCCCGCCCTCTCACCCTCCCAACCTTATTTAGAAACCGTGTCCCCGAGACAGGAAGGGCGGCGGGCCGAGAAGCACGGAGCGTCCCGGTCTCATTTCCTTTCGAATCCCCCTGTGGAATTTCATTTCATACGGTGAGGAAATCGGAGCGCGAGACCGTCGGCTGGTCGGCTGCTCCGGGGCGCCTCCCCCACTCGCTGCTGGAGACAGGCAGCTCCCGGGCGCAGGTCCGGCCGAGTCTGGGGGCGGGGAGACGCGGCCCCGCTCCAACCCAAGCAAGTTAGCAGTGAAAATAGCTGCGAGCTTGCGTTGTACCAGGCACGGGTCTAAGCGTTTTACGCATTACCTCTAATCCTCCCAAGTCTCTTTACGGGTGAGGAAACGGACGCCGAGAGGTTGAGCAATTTGCTCAAGGTCACACAGCTGGGATTTAAAGCCACAACGTTTGTAAATCGAAATCCCGTGTTCTTTGTGCACGTTTCTCTGCCTGATAGGTAGGTAGCCCCGGGCTGAGGTGACAGCCGTAAGAGGGGAAGGACAGGGAGCCGACTGATCAGGGAGCGTTTCTCACCTGGGAGAGGAGGGCGCAGGCTGGCCCAGCGGGAGCAACTCCGCTCCATCCCCGCCTGGCCCCCGAGCGCCGCGAACCGGGTGGGAGGAAAGTGAGAGCCGGGAAGCCGGGCGGGGCGCTCCGGGAGGGAGGGACGGAGGGACGGGGGAGGGGGGCTGGCGGGCGGGCGGGCGGGCCGGCGGGGGCCTGACTCTCCCAGCGGCAGGCGGCCCCGCCCCTCGCTGCCCACGGCGCCCGGCCATTGGAGAGGCGCGCTGTCCGTCCCGCCCCGCCACCGCCCAGCGAACCTCCACAGCGCCGCGGAGGGCTGGGGCGGTGAGAGCGGCGCGGTGCTGGGTGCTGGCGGTGTTCGCCCAGACGCAGAGTGGACGCGGCCGGCGCCGGCTACGGGCTAGGGGGCTCTCCGCCTGCAGCCATGACCCTCGCAGTCTGTCCTTCGGCCCCCGCCACAGGCGTCTAATATCCCACACAGTCGCGCGCAGCTGCCGGAGACCCGGCCGCTGCCCCTTCTTCGCCCTTGGCGCCTTATCACACTCCCTTCCCGGGAGCTGGGAGCAGCGCGGGCAGCCGGCTCCTCCGTGCAAACTGGGGGTGTCTGCTGGACCACCTCCCGCCGCCGCCGCCGCCGCCCCCGGCTCTGGCCATGGCCTGGCGGGGCGCAGTGCCGAGCGTCCTGGGGGCGCCCGGGGGCGTCGATCTCAGTCTGAGGCTGCTGCTGCTGTTGTTGCTGCTCCTGGAGCCAGCGCGGGGCTTCGGGGACGAGGAGGAGCGGCGCTGCGACCCCATCCGCATCTCCATGTGCCAGAACCTGGGCTACAACGTGACCAAGATGCCCAACCTGGTGGGGCACGAGCTGCAGACAGACGCCGAGCTGCAACTGACAACTTTCACGCCGCTCATCCAGTACGGCTGCTCCAGCCAGCTGCAGGTGGGCGCCCCCACCCCCACCCCTAGCGGGACGGGACCCCTTGGGCAGGGACGCCCCAAGCTAACTCCGTGGAGCCCTTGCCAAGCCAAACCCTCTGCCCCCTTCCAAGGCTGAAGGGTAAAACTATCCTGGAAAAGTGATTTCCAACCCCACCCCCACTTTTCTGTCCCTTCTCAGGGACTGGAAGCCAAAACGTTGTGTAAGTCATCTGGCCTGCGAAAGAACCCACTCTTACAGCCCGCCCTTCCGTTTTTCTCCCCTGCTCACCCGTGTCTAGCCAAGCCCCTAACCCCAGTGGAGCTGAGGGTTATCTTTGCCAAGGATTTTGGCGGCCGCTGTTCGGTGGGCGAGTCCCCAGCAGGGCAGCCAGCTGCAACTAAGACTTGGAAGGAGAGATAAGGAGCCGGGAACTTCTCCTCTCAGACCTTCTTTCTCCCTCATATTTTGGGGTGGCTTATTAAATGAAACCCCCCTGCCGCGTTTTCTGCGGAGCGGCCCCTCCTCGCGTCGTCCCGCATGACTTTAGAGGTCATGCAGGAAGGAATAGTTGGGTGGCTTGAGAGCGTTCTGATCCTCAGGGTTGAGGGCAGGTTTAGGATTTGGCGGAGAGAAAACACAGTTTGGGGAAAAGGTGATAGTGTGTGGTCAAGCTCCAGGAAGGTAATTTGCATATTGGAAGGTTTTTTTTCCCAGTCATTAAAAGTTTTAAAGCTTCTGTAATGATAGGGAAAATGTTCAACCTACAATAGGTGAAGAAATAATTTGTATATACAGGGTGGTTATAATCTTACAAAACCAAGAACCCATTCATTTTTTTTTTTTAAAAAGGAACTGAAAGAGATTTTTTAAAAAAGGTTAGCACTGGTTGTGTTTTGGTTGGTGAGGCTCTGAGTGAGTTTTAGAAATTTAGACAAGAGAGAACTTGGGAAGAAAAACAGAGGGTAGTTGTCCAGGCTGAAAGCTTCAGAAATCCGTGGTTCTGGTTATAGCTTCCAAGAGATAAGAAATAGGCAGGCAGCTTACTTAGTAGGTGTGTGTTTTTACACAGGTCATTTTAAAAAGTTGGACTGTGGTTTCAGAAAGATGGTCGGGATTAGACCTGTTGCTGCTGAAACACTCCCTTTGGAGTGTTCAGAACTTTAGAACTAGGTTATAAAAGCTTCAGAAATGATCCACTAGCTCTCAGTTTGGAAACAGCACATATCCTGACATCAGTGGCAATTTTGTTGGAGAAACAGCTTTTGCAGGGATATATATTTTTAATTACATGTATCCTGGGGAAGCAGCCAAGCTGTTTTGAAGGACAGGACTGGATCCCTTTACATGCTGGAAAATAGTGACTTGTAACTCTAGACTTCATAGACAACATCTGTAAGGAGCCAAGCTGACTGTTTATCAATGCTGGAGGAATTGAGGACAGCAACTGGACTCTGTCCTGCTGGTACTGCTGTTCCAGAGACCTCACATTTATATTTTCCTATTATGCTTCATTATTATTCATTGAGGAAATCTGGCCAAACAAAGCCCTGGTGACCAGAGACCCCAACCTGCACCCCATCCTTGGGTCCACCAGTGTCTCAATTAGGACATTTTCTGTTTCAGTATGGGACTGATTAACAAAATAAATTTGAGGGGATAAAGTAGAGAAAAGAGGGAATATAAATAGGAGAAAAGCCGGATCTATAATTTTTTTTACATTTATTTTTATGGTGATAAAGAAGTGATAAAGAATTTATTTACCAAAATAAATTACCCCATCACCAGAATGACTCAGTCATTAGATTAGTCTGTTCAGCTCTTTGAAAGAGGGAGATGCAAAGTCAAGTCCTAAGGTTTATTTTCTTAAGCGTTATGCAAAAAAGGGGTGATGTAATTCTTCAGGTCCTTTTTATATATTTATTTATTGACGGTCTCCGGGAAAAGATTGCTAGAACCCAGGAAGCAAAGTGTGCATGCGATGGATTTTTTTAAGCACCCTAGTCTGAGGTCAGAGTAAACAGTCAGAGTCCTTATAGCTGGTTTAAAAGTCAATACGTACTTTTGCCTGGAAGCATTCAACTCTGCTTCGTGCAAGCATTTGGTCAGACTTCCAAGTCATTGTTTTCTTTGTTCATTTCATTACTTTTCCAGTTCTTCCTTTGTTCGGTTTACGTGCCAATGTGCACAGAGAAGATCAACATCCCCATCGGCCCGTGTGGGGGCATGTGTCTTTCGGTCAAGAGGCGCTGTGAACCCGTCCTGAAGGAATTTGGCTTTGCCTGGCCCGAGAGCCTGAACTGCAGCAAATTCCCACCCCAGAATGACCACAACCACATGTGCATGGAAGGGCCGGGTGATGAGGAGGTGCCCTTACCTCACAAAACCCCCCTCCAGCCTGGGGAAGAGTGCCACTCCGTAGGCACCAACTCGGATCAGTACATCTGGGTGAAAAGGAGCCTGAACTGTGTTCTCAAGTGTGGCTATGATGCTGGCTTGTACAGCCGCTCGGCCAAGGAGTTCACGGACATCTGGATGGCTGTGTGGGCCAGCCTGTGCTTCATCTCCACCGCCTTCACCGTGCTCACCTTCCTGATCGATTCCTCCAGGTTCTCCTACCCTGAGCGCCCCATCATATTTCTCAGTATGTGCTATAATATTTATAGCATTGCTTATATTGTCAGGCTGACCGTAGGCCGGGAAAGGATATCCTGCGATTTTGAAGAGGCAGCAGAACCTGTTCTCATCCAAGAAGGACTTAAGAACACAGGATGTGCAATCATTTTCTTGCTGATGTACTTTTTTGGAATGGCCAGTTCCATCTGGTGGGTTATTCTGACGCTCACTTGGTTTTTGGCCGCGGGACTCAAATGGGGTCACGAGGCCATCGAGATGCACAGCTCTTATTTCCACATTGCTGCCTGGGCCATCCCTGCTGTGAAAACCATTGTCATCTTGATTATGAGGCTGGTGGATGCAGACGAACTGACCGGCCTGTGCTACGTTGGGAACCAAAACCTCGATGCCCTCACAGGTTTTGTGGTGGCTCCCCTCTTCACGTATTTGGTGATTGGAACCCTGTTCATCGCTGCTGGTTTAGTGGCCTTGTTCAAAATTCGATCCAATCTGCAAAAGGATGGGACAAAGACAGACAAGTTGGAAAGGCTGATGGTTAAGATCGGGGTCTTCTCGGTCCTGTACACGGTGCCTGCCACATGTGTGATTGCCTGCTATTTCTATGAAATCTCCAACTGGGCGCTCTTCCGGTATTCTGCAGATGACTCCAATATGGCGGTGGAGATGTTGAAGATTTTTATGTCTTTGCTGGTGGGCATCACCTCAGGCATGTGGATTTGGTCTGCCAAGACTCTGCACACCTGGCAGAAGTGTTCTAACAGATTGGTGAATTCTGGGAAGGTAAAGAGAGAAAAGCGAGGGAACGGTTGGGTGAAGCCTGGGAAAGGCAACGAAACTGTGGTATAAGGCTACCCGGGCTCCACGCTTTCCAAATTTTGAAGGTGGGGGGGAATGCTAGCATTTTGGCGCAAGTGCGACTAAAAGTTTCCTGCAGTGTATCTCAGTTTGAGCAAACTGGCAACACATCAGTGACCCCTATAAGCCACTGCCACCTGCCCCTCCCTGCCACTCCCCTGCATCATAAAAGGAATGATTTTGCTGCAGACTTTGGAACGATCCAAAATGGAAAAGCCAGTTAGAGGCTTTCAAAGCTGTGAAAAATCAAAACATTGATCACTTTAGCAGGTCGCAGCTTGGAGCGTGGAGGTCCTGTCTCGATTCCAGGAGGGTCCAGGGCGATACTGCTTTTCCCTGCAGAGTGAGATCTGGGCTGTGAGTAGGTAACTCGCAGGGAGAAAGATTAACTTTTTTAACCCTTAAAATCTTAAATACTAACTGGGTCTTTCAGATAGCAAAGCAATCTCTAAACACTGGAGACACTGGGTTCAGACAAGTGTTACAAGAGTTTTATAGTTGGGCTGATCTAACATAAACAGTTTCTGTGCTGTGCTGTCTGCTGTTTAGGGCTTTGTGGATTGCTCTCCCAAGAGGTGGTGTCAGAACCTTTCAGTGCCTTTGTCATAAAACAGAATTGTTTGAAAAAAAAACAAAAGTACTGTACAAACACACGTAAGGTATCCAGTGGATTTTTCTTCTGTCTCTTCCTCTTAAATTTCAACATCCCTGTTGTAGACTGCTGCTGTTTTCTTTGTTTTGCATTAATGACTCAAAATAGGTATTTTTATAGGATTTTTTTTTTTTTTTTTTTTTTTTTTGCACAGCAGCATGCCTAATGAGGGGGAAGGTAAGGGTGATTCACTTTCTGACAATCATTTAATTCAGAGGAAAATGAGATTTATCAAGTCGACTTACCTTACCGACCCCGGAGACCTGTTGCATTGAGCAATGGGGACTTAATATATTTTACTTTGTGTGATTGCATCTATGCAGACGCCGGTCTGGAAGAGCTAAAATGTTAAGTTTCTTGGCAACTTTGCATTCACACAGATTAGCTGTGTAATTTGTGTGTGTCAATTACAATTAAAAGCACATTCTTGGACCATGACGTAATAGTATACTCAACTGACTTTAAAACCATGGTCAGCTTGCATTCTCAGAATGATAGTGCCTTTCTTTTCTTTAGCATAAGAATGTTATCAGTCTAGTCTATGACCACCATGAAGACTTTTCTGTTCTGTAGAGAGAACTAAGGACAGCTAATCCAACTACTCGGTGCAGAATTGTTTCCTAGTAATTGGCAAAGGCTCCTTATAAGATTTCATTGGAGGCAGTGTGGCCTGGAGTATTTATATGGTGCTTAATGAATCTCCAGGATTCCAGCCAGGAGCTAGGTTGGTTAGTAGGGAATAAAGTGTAGACCATATGAAGTGAACTGCAAACTCTTAACAACACAGGTCTTAATTGCCTTTTGCAGGGGTATCCAGAGCTTTTAAAAGTTATGCTTTATGTTCCTCACAATGGGGTACCCCCCTAGCAGCCTCTCAAAAAGTTGCAATTCTTTTAAAATTGTAACTGGACTCTTAACCTTAGGCCTTCTAGTCGCCAGATCTCTGGGACAAATGGTTGACAATGTCACAAGTCCTTGTAGCTCATACCTATTTTGCTTCAGCAACTACTTTGCAATGACTCACTTATTATTTATTCATGCCCCACCCCACCCCCCTTTCAGAAACAGGTAGGAAAACTCTTTTATCACATTTCTTTGTGGAAAAAAATTTCCATGGACTCAGATTCCCTAATAGGTGGTCAGATTCTGGAAATACATGTGTCCTTTCCCATCCTTTTTGAGCTGTGGTTTGACACTTTGCTTTCTTTGTTTTCTGGAGCTCCTGAGCCGTCTGAGGTAAAGATGCATAGAAGGTCTGTTGTGTATTTTGGGAGGGAAAGTCTCGGGGCTCTGAGGACAGATGCTGACTGGGCGCGGAGGGTCCCTGGTGTGTGTGTGTGTGCGCGTGCCGAGCCCCAGTACCTTGGCTGGACTCCGGGTCAGGGTTCCAGGAGCATGAGAAATGATCCCCAGAAGGGCCCGTTGAACTCCATTTGAGACTGTGTCGCCTCTGGAATACAAATGTGAATTCCCTGTGCTGCTTGCAGACAGTTCCCAGAGCTGCCCAGGGCCCCGGAGCGTTCACCCAGGGGCAGGGCCTGCCCTTACTCACGCTCCGCTCCAGCGTCCTGGGAGTTGCACCGCTGGGAGTTGCGCGGAGACTCTGGCCCAGGAAGGGGAAGAAGGACGGTGCAGCCGGGGCACTGGCCTCACTTTACGACCGTAGGCCTCCGTCAGGCGCTTGTGTTTCTGATGGCTCAGTGATCGTGTGACCCAGGCAGCACCCGGCAGAGGGCCCGGCACAGAGTAGGTGCTCGATATCTGTGAGAAATGAAATAATAATAATAAGAGGGCTTGGGTGAACCGCTCTGCCCGAGTTCGGGAGCAAACACGTCCCTTCTGCAAATGTCTGGCCTTCTCAGGGGAAGGTCCATTTGACCGGAAGTGGCCCTCGGTGCAGCCGGGATTAGGAGCCCTAGCTGTGTCACAGGGCTGTGGGCCTTTCCTTTCACATTCCAGACAATGGAGAGTGTTTACAGTTTCAGGAAAAGAGCTTTGTGGCTGCGGTCAGTTACGTGTTACCTTGAGGTGACTGCATCACCTCTTCAGCTGGTATCTGTTTAAAAAAAAAAAAAAAAAAGTCAATTATTGGCACATTTATGAGTGCCCACTCTGTGTAAAGCCCCGTTGTTAGGCACCTTTGGGGACGTGGAGGAGTGCAGGCTTTGTCCTCCCCACTGGCCTGGACTGAGGATGCGCCTGGGTCTGCCGAGTGTTGCTCTTGGAAGACGGGCCACTGTTTCACGGTCTCCCACCCATCAACCACTTCCTGGGTCTTTCTGCCTTTCCTGTCTCTCTCATCCCTCCCCACGATTCCCCGCTCGTCAGCTCCAGGGGTTTTGACAGGATGCCTCAGCCCAGTTTCATGACCAGCTCTGTGGAGATCCCCCAGGGATCAGATCCCACTGAACACTGGCTGAAAGGATGTGAGCTCCCACACCTCGTGGGGATGGTGGGGGGGCAGGCTGCTCAGGGCTCGGGGTGTTTCGTGTGATATGTGCAGGGGAATCTGAGGACATCTTGCTAGGGGAAAGGTTAGGGCTAGGGTTTTTTGAAATCAAGAATAAGTAGGGATGATTGTAGCTTCCCCCAAAACGCCTTGGCCTCTGGAGATTTTATTCAACAGGGCCCCAGGGCACCTCTGTCCACCCTCCGCTCTGGCAAGCCCCTCTTTCTCTTCGCAAAGGCGACCCTTCAGGGCCGAGGAGCACGGGGTAGGGTGCAACTGGCCAGAACCGTCTGGTTGAGCTACTTGGTTGATTCATATCCTTTTCCTCCCGTTTCCTGAATTCTGAGAAGGCTTCTGAGCCGCCAGTTTGCTCAGGGTCCTGAAACCACAGAAGGCAGTGCCGCTGTTTCTTTCCCTGAGATGCTCTCTGACTTTCCTCTCCCCAGTCACTCCCTCACCAGCACCCTCAAACCCAGGATCAGGACAACTTCTGTGTTGACGTTCTGAATTGTGACTTTACCAGCACCCTGAGCTCTGTCTTCTTTGGTGCCCTCCCACCCCCCAGCGTTCCCGGTCACTGAATTCAGGCCTTACTGTGTTAGCAATGGAGCTGGGACCTGAGGACATGGAGGAGCTCACCAGCCTCAGCCCTGGAGCACAGACTCGGTTTACCGGGATGTCACCAGGCTGGTGTGGCCTGTGGCTTCTGGGGAAGTGGCCCTAGCAGCAGTCAGTGGGGAGAGCCACAGAGCATGGACTTTGGAAGGACCCCCCAGGATCAAGCTATGTCCTGATTTTCATTCTGTGATGGGAGAGATTGGAGGGAGTTAGTTGCCTTTCCAGTCAGTTGTGTCCAGTCACTGGACTCTAACAGTTCTGGGTGTTCTTTTATTGTATTTGGGTTGAGTCCTCCTCTGATTTTCCTAATGTTGGGCGAAGGACCCAGGTTATCATTTTCCTCTGGGCCTAGGTCATAGATCTTGGAAACTCCTAGAAGAGCATTTTGCTCCTCCCAAGGATCAGGTACCAGAGCCTTAAATAATGGATTTTGTTTCCCTGTGGCCTGCTCAGAGCCCTCTGCCGCTGCATCTTGCCACACGCATGTGCGGTCATGGCCGGCTGACTCTCCCTGAGAGGGAAGTGAACCCTGACCCTCTCCAACAGGCCTCTTCCCCTCCGGTGGCCCATTTGCCCTGTAGCAGCCTGTTCCTGTTTCTGATTTATCTTACTTCCCTTCTTCTTCTTTGCACCAGCGAATTCCCCATATTTCCCCACGCAGTTGGGAGAGGGCCTGTTTGGGGTCCTCTGTGAGCCATGTCCTCCAAGCTTTGGTGGCTCCTTGATCTCCTGCCATATTCAGTATCTGACCACTGTCCTCTCAGAAGAGCTTCTGAGAAGAGGGGCGGGAGCAGCTCTGCTCCCCAAAGACTGGTCTGTCTTCTCCCCCAGGATGTGCTCCTCTCCACGTCCTACTCCTGGGCTTGGGCCCCAACCTGGTTGTGTGCTTTGGGAGGGGGAGGCCGCTCTCTCGGTGTCTTCCCCACTGGGGCATCTAGGTGGTTCTGAATTTTTTCCTACCTCACAGGGATGTTTTGAGAACTTGCAAAGGTCTGAGGGTGAAAGGCCCCTTGAGCTCTTTGCAGGAAAGGTGGAATCAGTGTCAAGCGTGATTCGTAAAGAGATGAACTGGGACTCAGCATCCTTGTGCAGCAGGCAGGCCGTGCCCTGTGGCCTGTCCTTGGATCCCGTGCCACCCTGCACCTCCAGCCACCTTGAGGCCAACCTGGGGGCCTTCCAGATGTTTGACATAGAGGTACCAGGCACCTGCTACACTTGCCCTCATGAACTGCTGAATGTCAAAGGAAATGGACCCTGCTTTTAAGGATGTACAAACGTGTGTCTGCATTGATGTCTGTACTGTAAATTTCTAATTTATCACTGTACAAAAAAAATAAACTTTGCTATTTAATTTTTGTATTAAAGGAAAATAAAGTTTTGTTTATTAACTGGTCTGAGATGTGGCGTGTTCCTCAAGGTGCAGCAGAGCTCCCAGGAGGCACACCTTCCCAGTAGTGCAAAAGAGAGATTTGGATCTGCAGGGAAGATTGAGAGGCTCTTTCTGAGAGCCTCTTTGTTTCTTTTTTGCTGGTGCTATTTTTCCCCTCTGGGATTTCTCCTGGGTCAGTAAACCCCCGAGGTCCAAGGTCAAGAGAATTTATTGCTCTCGTGGTCATCAGTATCACTGAAATCGTCACATGATGCTTTGGAGGAAACTGTAGTTCCCAAGCTGTTGTCTGTGACACCTCTTTCTGGTGTCTCCACTAGACATGGCCATTTTTAGTATACTTTCCAAGCTCCTCTGACTTAATCTGGTGGCTTGAAAGTTTTTTGTATCACCACGAGAGCTTCAGGGGTCTTTAAAAGGGGCAGGAGGGATTTTTTTTAAAACATTTTCATTAAAATTTTTTCTTCCTGATTCCCCAACAGTCATTTTTGTGTAATAGATATGGGAGTATGTCATATCAGTCAATCAGTCAATCAGGATGATCATTTCCTTAGTTAATTTTATAAATGGGGTGGCCTATGTCTCCATATCCAGAAGTCATCAGATGAAGCGAATTCAA